TCACATTTTTTCTCTGATTTATCATAACATTTTGTGTATATTTCCCTGTATAATGTGAATTTTTGCAATTGTTTAATGAAGTATATTAACATTTGTAAGATCTGTAAAATCAGTAAACCAAATATTTTCTAAGTGACCTATATACGATACTACAAAATGATGCCTGGAAAAGATCCATCCTAAATTCAAGACAGACCAAAGGACATTTTTCTTTCCTCCATCCTCAGGCAACTACAGATTTTTTTTTTCCAGTCACTATAGATTAGTTTTCATTTTCACAGTTTTATGTCAGTGGAGTCATGCCTGGTGATTTTTTATTGAGTTCCAAATATTGTGAATTTAATCTTGCTGGGTACTGGATGTTACTGTATTTCTGTAAATACTCTTGAGTTTTGTCTGGGATGCAGTTAAATTACTTGGAATCAGATGATCCTTTTGGACCTTGCTTTTAGTATTTGTTAGTTAGGACCTGAGCAGGGTTTAGTTTTGGGCCACCTCAATAGAGGTTTGTTCCTCCTGAATCCTCTACCTAATGCTCCATGAATTGGGAGGTTTTTCTAGTCTGGCTCGTGGGAACAGGCACTGTTCCACGCTCTATGTGAGTGCCCCATCATTTCAGGTGCTGCCTGCCACTGTCTTGGATTGTTTCCTCACTGGCATGTACTGATCGGTGCTCTACTAGGTACTTGAGAGGTCCTTCTGCAGGTCTCTGGAGTTCATTCTTTGTGCAGCTCTCTCCCCTCCGGTGTTCTTCCCTGTGAACTTTAGTCTTCTTGGTTGCCTGGACCCTCAGCAATGTCTCTTCAGCTTGGGTTTGCTAGGCTGTATCTGAGTTCCCCTTCCTCATGCCACAGCCTGGAATCTCTCTCAGGACAATAAACTGAGATGATCATAAGGCTTAATCTCATTTGTTTCCCATTCCTCAGGGAATCATTCTTCCCTGCCTTATGTCCTATATCTTAAAAGCTACTGTTTCATATATTCTGTCTGTGTATTTAGTTTTTCAGGTAGGGAAAGTAAAAAACTCACTGACAAATCGCCAAAGTCTTCACTTAAAACTCCTGTTTGCCTATATAGTCTTTAGGCCCTTATAAACTTTTTGCATTCTTTTTCCCTTTCTCCTTCTTCCCACTCTCTTTTTTTCTGACTGACTTCTGCTAATCCTTCAGGAAGCCTTCCTTGGTGTGCCCAGTTTTGAGTTAGATTCCCATCTGGAATGTTCTTTTTATTTCTCAGTTTTTAACACTTAATCTTAAAACCTTTTCCACAGGCTCTGAGTTCCATTATAGACACCACCAGGTTTTCTAGTAAACTGAGACCTCCTTGAAGACTGGCTGTTTTATTCATCTTCATATTCCAAGCACTTAACCTACTGCCAGGAACCTAGTTGTAGACGAGTGAATGAATACCATAATCCTTGCCTTCAAAGAGCCTTCTTTCAAATTCTTGAAAATACTTTTAAAAAAATACTTAAATTCTTGAAAATTCTAAGTGGGGGAAAAATTGTTAGTTATCTTCACAGAAGCCTTACATTTGGAGAAGTCATCTGAGGAGCTTTTAATGTTCAATTGTTAATAGTAATATGATGCTGTATGTTTGTCTCTGCCAATGTTTTCTCACTCATTTTCTTTCACAGTATCTTATTTTCTTAGTAGCCCTTACTATTTGATTTTATTTGTCTACTTGTTTGTTACCTATTTGCCCTGTGAGAATGTAACGTCAATCTTTTTTTGTTTTTGTGGGAGGAGGTAATTGAGTTTAGGTTTATTTATTCTTGGAGGAGGTACTGGGGATTGAACCCAGGACTTCATGCATGCTAAGCATGAGCTCTACCACTTGAGCTATACCCTGCCCCCGATACATTTAAAATCTGCAGTTGTATTAGTTTTTGGAAAACTTTCCTCCATATATTAAATGATAAATTAGCTTAGTAATTTCTGTTTTCCTCTAAATTCGACATGAAGCTTTTTTATGAAGCTATATTTTTCTTTCAAATTTTCTTAGTTTTTATTAAAATAATTTAGGCTTCAACCTGTAAATTGAATTGAATATTTAGCTTCTTACCTTCCAATTACCTCCAGTTTCCTCTTCAAATCAGAAAATGATGTTAATATCTCCTTTCTTATATGAATTACCTTCCAGTGTCTCCTGCTTGTTCCCTTTTCTTACATTTTAGATTTATGTTTTTATATGGATAATTCATATGTAAAAGAACTAGTGAAGCACCAGTCTTCATGTGGTCAAAATATAGTTAAGAAAAACCATGTTTTCGAATAGAATGTTACCATTTTGATATTACCTTGTTCTGCCATTCATAATCATTTATATTCTCTTAATTCTTTTAATAAATCCTTACAATAGGTGAGATATTTTCACAGACACATTCTTATGCTTATACACTGCTTTTTATTTGTTTATTAAATAAATGATAACATTGTGTATATATTTTTATTAAAGTAATTCTTTGATTTGAGGTAGCTGTAGTGTTTATTACTTTAATTGACTATTTTTGCCTAATATGTAGGAAAGAGATGGGTCCAGCAGAGTGCGCTGTTGATCCTTGGATAAAATGTTGGTATTGGGCAAAGCCTTGGGGCTGTTTTTCTTTTTCTTCCCCTTAACATTCCTACCTTTACTTTCTTTTCTGTCTCTCTCTTTTTCTCTCCTTCTCTTTCCTCCTCCTTCCCATCCCGCCCTCCCTCCCTTTAATACTAGAGATATTCTCTAGGCTTTCAGGAGAATATAATCAATTTACTCAGGAAAGTATTTTACAAGTCATTTTCCTCATAGTTTCAATTTACTTTTATTAAAAAACTGCTATATTATATAGTGAAATGATGCATACCATGTTTCAGAAACTCTTCTAAGCAGCCTAGAAACACTAATTTACTTGGTAAATACAGGTTCATGTGAGTTAATGCTTATTTTAAGTTCTTTTGACTTTTTTTGTGAATTTGACAATTTTTAAAATAAAACAAAAGATTCAGTCCTTGCAATAACCTTATGAGGAAGGTATTAATATTTTCCTCAATGACAGATGAGGAAATTGAAGCACAGAGGATTTAAGTTCATGTCACAAAGCTTGATGGGTTGAGGTAGTTTGAGACCCAGGCAGTCTGGCTCTAGAATTGATCCTCTCAGCCACCTCACTATTCTGCTTCCAAATGAATTCTTCCAGATGACCTTCAAAGACAGTTCATTTTTGTACTGCTCCAGGTCATATTATATAATTTATTTAAGATTAGTTCCTCT